TAAGTAGGTTTTTGAGACTACCAGTATACACTATATATATATATATATATATATATATATATATAGAGAGAGAGAGAGAGAGAGAAAAATTGAGACAAGAAGAAATAGTGTTAAGTCAGTCTATTATCCAGCTTAAGAATCAAGTCTTTGTAGGCCTGTTTAATGGGGTAATCAAGTGTTCGAGGCAGATTATGAGAAATAACGCCTTCACTAACACGGAGATTATAGAAGTGCTCGGGGTAAATTCACTGAACTGGGGAGACCATTCGGAGCACTAAAGGTTCTAATAGGAGTTGGGTGCAGTAGATTGTGGACTTAAATGGCCAAGTAGAATAAATATTTCGCGCACAATGGGCAGGGAGAAGAGGAACACAGGGGGAAATGTGATTAGGCCCCTAAATCCGCTCAAAAGGGCACACTTCTGAAGCAGGTCAAAATAAACAAGAATATGAGATGTATTCACCTTATTTCGTTTAAGGTGATGAAGGACTGGTAGTAGAATTTCCCCACCTCAAACGAAATAGGGTAAATACATCTCATATTACTGATTTACTGGTAGTCTCGAAACTATACTCAAATACGAAAAACAAAATAAACAAGTTATAATTTAATAATAAGGGATAAAATACGAGGGCCAGCACAGAAAGATAGATAACACAACTGTCCAGCAAAAGGTTGAGTTTATTTTGACGAGTTGTAGCTTGGTGCTAAGAATGGCAAGGCCCACAGATGCAGGTGAAACGTTTGGCAAATCGTGTAAGTAGAATCGTGTTGAAAAAGAGTCAGATCAAAGTCAGCCAAGACGAAAAAATTCATGCAGATTTCCGCAGATTTATCACTATTTATGCTGATGCCTAAATAGCAGCTGAGACGTTTTACATGTGAATTCTTTTTAAGCTAATTCATCGCAACACCAAGTAAAATAGGTTTAGAAGTTGCTTGACCTTGTTTTGGTAACTTGATCATATTGATAAGAAGACCTAAAGGAACGCACCTAGTCAAGAGTACATTCCCAAATGATTCCGGTGAAATGTCTGGGAATGTACCACGTCCACGGTCCAACTCTGGAAATTATCATACTGTGGACTCCGGACTAGGTGTGTTCCTCTAGGTCTTCTTACAAACATGATCAAATTGCAAAAAAGTCAAACAAACTCTATAAAACGAAAGGAGACTGGAGCCAAACAAAAGGCCACATCATCTTGGTCTTCATACCTTCGAGTAAAATAGGTTTCTTTTCCATCACGATAACTTATTTTCTAATGGATTGTAAACATTAATAAGTAAGGTATCTAGCGCAACAGTTTTGGTGAAAATTTACTCCTAATGGATGGAGAGGATAAAAAATAATTCAAGCATTACTAGTAATTGGTGAATTAGCCGGTCTTCTTTAGAGATCAATACTGACCAATTGGCCCTATATTTCAGTCTATTAAGTAAAAGCAAAGTTAGGATTAATTGATACCAAAATATATTAACAGAATTCAATCATAGAAAAAAAGTATTAATCAGCCCTAAACAAGACTCCAACATTATGTCCAAATTTAATCGACTTGCTGGCCAGCAAATATCAAATGATTAGAAATGAATAAACGTTGAGATAGTACCTGTTTCAGTTCCTACAGGGCTACTATCTTGAAAGAAGTCCGATACGCTGCTCGAACCACCACTCCCATCCATATCCTCCTCCATATCTTCATTCACAGCTTGATTTACTGAGGGAAGTTTTTCTTCCTTAAAGGACTTTGAATCGAGATGGCTCTCGTCCAATGCTTGGGTTTGACCATCGTTCTGAGCCTCAATGGACTGACTTCTTGTAGGAGAAGATCTATTGTCAGCAGAGGGTACCTCAATAATAGATTCAAGAGCGGAAATTGCTTCGGAACACTCAGTCTCAGCAAAATCGGAACTATTGGTGGAGGGAATAGAAACATGTTGTGTGGAGGGTCCAGAACTTTGATGTGACTTCTGAATAGCAGAACTGGTCTGTGCACAATTGGAAAAAATAATTAAATCTTGTAATTAGTGGGATCCGATCTAAAGTTAAAAGTGCAGTGAGGGATCGTTATGCTGGTTTGGACATAAAATAATCAGATAAAAGGAGCATCTGGATCTGAGCTGTCGTAAACTGGCTAAAAGTGAAGACTAAAAGAGATATACATTTTATTTATTACAGATAACTCATTACGGAAGAGTAGAGCATTAACGGTATTGAAGAGTGGGCATGAAGTTTAAATATATTTAAAAGGAGTTGCCGAAAAGATATGACCTGTGAAAACGACTAACAAATAAAAATTAAGTGAGTATATAGATAAACTTCCAATAGGCTTATTTGGAAGGATGCTAAGTTCTTACAATGGTCTCAACGCAAGATTGACTCTAGTTAATAGTGTCTAGTATTAAAGCTCATAGACTACTAACCTTTAAGGTTCTGGTTGATTTAACTGATGAAATGTATTTAGTATTGCATCTGCATGAGAGATCAATGGGCATCAGCTGAGGGGCAGGGACCTCACTATCAGTATACAATTTGAAACCCATTTGGGTTGGTGGAAAAGAAAGACGAAGAATTGGGCAAGAAGAATCAATCGTTGACTCGATGGAAGTAGAAGAGCGAAGAGTCACTGAGCTGGAAGAAGAGGAAGATTCGCGTATCATATTTGATGGTGTATTGTCAGAAATACGACCAATCAGCAGAATCCTAGGAATAAAAGCATAAAAAATAAAAATCAAGTATAAAATATTGTAACATCTATCAAACCATTGAAGGGAAGTGAAAGAAAGATAAGAGACTAAAAGTCTCAAAAGTCGAAATATGCCAGCTGAAAAAATAAAGTTTAAGTGTGAGATCAGACATTTACGTTTATTCTTTGGTTTTGCGATCAAATGGAAATAGTAATTAATTAGTTAATTTTTCAGTTTAAGGCATCAAGTATTGGGTGAAGAGATTCGAAGGTCGGTTCCACCAGAAGATGACGGCGGATTCCTCTTGACCAGCTGTCGATTGGCTTTACTGGAAGATTCATGCTGGCGCTGTTTCCGAGGCAATCTTCTTCGATTCCGGTGAAAACGTGCTAAGCTTTCGTCCGTCATATGCGCTCTACATAGTCTCCCTGAAAACAAGACCAAGTTGCGACAACGAGGTCAACCCACTTCTATAAATGGAAAGGAGACTACGACCATACCAGAGGCCACAACATCTTGTTCTTCATATCTTTAATTAAAGTACGGTAATAAAATTGCCAAATAATGCACTGAATACAGCCGGACAAAGAAGACAATTGTAAGTCAGTCTTCCCATATTTCTTTTTTAAACTGTTGTAAAGGTTATGGTTAGACAACCTAAGTTGAGGACAGTGCGCCCAGTTGAAGTGGTTTCCGAAGTGATAACACTTACTGAACAGCACGGGGAT